TCTGAAGAGACCTGGGTTCTATTCCCAGTTCTGCCACACATTTCATGTGTGATCTTGGGCAAGTCACTTAAGCTCCTTGTCTCAGTTCTCTGTCCGTTAGGTGGGTATAATGATATTTCCTCTCTCACCTTTTGTCTATCTAGATTAGAAGGTTTTTTAGGGCAGAGAGAATCTTAGGGCTTCTGTACACAGTTTTTGTATTGCTTTAACTATAGTTGTTTGAAACTTGTATCGTTAAAGCAATACAGCCCCCTAGTGTGGATGTAATTATACTGCTCTAAAAGTGCTAGTACCAGTGTACCTTATTTCTGTAAATTTAAGGGAATAAGTTATGTGGGTGCAAGGCATCTTTATAGTAACGTAACTACCTCCACGCTGGGAGCTGTGCTGATTTAACTATTTTGGTTTAAAAACATACCTGTAACCTAAATAGTTAAATTGGGTACAAAAACTGTAGGCCAGGTTTTACCATACCTATACAAAAAAAAAGGAGGACTTGTGGCACCTTAGAGACTAACCAATTTATTTGAGCATGAGCTTTCGTGATGAAGTGAGCTGTAGCTCACGAAAGCTCATGCTCAAATAAATTGGTTAGTCTCTAAGGTGCCACAAGTCCTCCTTTTCTTTTTGCGAATACAGACTAACACGGCTGTTCCTCTGAAACATACCTATACAGTGCATAGCACAATGGGTCTTGATCTCAACTGGGGCCTGCCGGTAATCTAACTGTAATACAAATAAATAAGGAACTCCAGACTCCAGTACTTAAAGCATTAAACCCACAGAGGAGCAAATTTTGCTCTCAGTTTAAATTCAGAGTGACTATATGAAGGTGGGTGATTTATATCACTCTGACAGAGCAGAATTTAGCCTTGTTTACTCGTCCTTTCTTCTGATATCTCAAATTCACCCACACGTCATGAATAAAATTAGGTTGCATGGAGCCACAAAATTGAGGAGGGAACTGCAATTTTATAGGAATAGAAACTTTTACAATCTAAAATAGTTACCAAGAGCAACTTTGCAGGGCCACCAGATGCAATAAGCAAAAATTCAACTTTAAATTATGACAATAGTCAAGGCAGATCCTATGGAAAGGGAGAGACTCTTACCATGCATTTAAAAAAGGGATGGTCTACCATATGAACATGTATTTTTTAACAGAGATGATTACTTGTCCTCTACAGTTTAATAACCATGCAATATTTACAGTTATGCTCTTTGGTTCTTTCCCCCTCTGACTAGAGTCTGTTTGATTAACTGGTATGCAACAAAAACCTTTATACAGGCTTCAGATTTTTCTTCACCTTTTATGTATCCTGTTTACATATTTTAATATTAATGGCAAGAAAGGACCATAAAACATGAGACTTGACAAAAAAATTGCAGTATTTTAACATTTAAATTTGACTGTAAATAAGATAACCATAATAAACTTTTTTTCTCCACATATTGCAGATTGACTTAGCAATAAACATGAAGGTTTATATTACCGTGACTAAACTGCAGGACTTCATAATCAGATTTTAATTTGGTATCTGTGCTTCTAAACTCATGTTCCTTTTCTTCACGTTTCTGCATCGATGACTTAACCAGGTCATCTCTCCTCCCTACCAAATAATCTGTTGCAAAACTCTCACCTGCAATTATTTTACACCCATAAAATGGGCACAATGCTTACCTACGTCAGTGATCTTACAAAGCAAAAGCAATGCTTGTAAAGCTAAGTAGTAGTACTTATAAAATACTATATTTGCTATTAGGTTCTGTGTGCAAAAGCCACTTTTAAAAAAAAGAAACTGCTTTTTTTTAAAAAACCTTAAGATACTCACACCACAGGATAAGAATCATATAAAAATTAGTTCAGATGCGAGCCTTTGTAGTTTGAGCTGTGGTTAGCAATAATGGGCATACATGATCTTTATAGCCCTGAATGATTTCAGACCCAATTAGGTGAGTGTTGATCTGCCCACAGCAGCAAAGAACTGCAGGCTTCCCTTGATGCTGCTGTTCATGGCAGTTGTACTCTCTTGAACTGCAGGCAGGGCACCCACAGTCAAAGGGGCCTCCCCCTATAGGAATAGCTTCCTGGTTCGCCAGTTTGGTATGATTTGGAGCACTGTGCTTAATATGGCCTTTAACAACCACCACATTAGAATGGAAGCATTTTAACCAAGTCAGCTATGTGGGTGACCTGCTTTTTACGTGTGTGCTTCTTTTCTAAATCCTATGAAGTAAACTGATGTTAGTCATCAAGCCTTTAACACATTGTGATTAATAATTATTATTTTAAACAGTGAAAGAGAAAATATCTTAGCACAGATGTATTAAAACAAATGATCCAAGACTGTGGTTTCCCAGCATTTTAGGCAAAACATTTCCCTGCAAGAGCAAATACTATAATCATAAGAAAGCTACAAATAAATCTGAATTGTTCAGTGGAAATGCCTATAATTTCTCTCTTAAAAATGACATTTTGAAGTCTAATTATTGTTCCCTCTATCAAGTCACCATAAAAAACACATTAAAGCCTCTCACCAGGAATAATTGGTACTTTTGACTCTCTGGGGAGTTGCACCTTTTTATTTATATAATACAAAGACAGTCTTGCCAGCAGAGAGAGCAGAGGAATTCTTAGGGCGGCAAGGATTCATTTAAGTAAACTATTTCTTTGGTCCTCAGAAAGTTGAGGCAGGGTCTTTCCCTTAATACTGACCAATGTCCAAGCTTCCATTCTACTAGGCTATGATTTTTTTTATCCTGAATCAGCTAAGGCTTCCAACTTGCTAATCAAAAACCAACATACAGTTATTTTAAGAGTATTCCATAAATAATTCAGGACTGTATTTTCCAAACCAATTGCCACTCCCTCCAATGTGAAATACTAAAATTATTTTTAAAGAGAAAAACAGACATTTAAAAGTGAAATAAAATATGGCCTCATAAGTATTTAAAATACACTGAATAGTTTAATTGCACAGTGAATAAAGAGAGGATGAATCAATGCGAAAGCCTGCGTAATGCGGATGATATATCCCTAAACCATAGCAGCAACAACTCAGTATCCAAAAAATGAATTAGCCCTTGAGTAATCAATCACCTGTGGTCTCTTTTATAATACACAAAAACAATCAGACAATTATTTCTTTGTAAACATCTTTATTTAATTTTCCTGGAACCCTTCCTCTTCTTTTTCATTTCAAGTTCAATTATTTACCTTCTTTATCACATGCATAGTAAACCTTTTTCTTTGTTGTACCACATTAACAAAAGCTCAGAATATGGGATTTCTTGCTATAGACCTTGAAATAAGCACCTCTGAAATTACAAATATCAATACACCATAAACTGAAGCCTTAAAGGTGACCTGAAAAGCCAATATGAAAATGCAGTTGAACTCAGAAATTAGTGCTTTAATGCCTTCACTAAGTAAACTAAGTAAAGCAGTATTTTAATTTATCATTAAAAAGGAGTCATCCCTGGAACTACTCCTGGCAGTACTTCCTGATTTGCTAATAACCCAGAATGCATCACTGATACTATGGATTGTGTGGGCGGAAACTGAATAAAGTTGAACCTCATGGACTGAATGCCCTCACCAGCCAGATCATAACTGACTACATTCAGCATGTGTTTCTGAGCTTAAGTCAATTTATATTTTGGCTTTGCAGAGCTCCTCTAAGGTATGCCCTATTCAGCAAAGGCTGTTCTGTGAAATAAGCTCTCACGGCTTGATGGCCTGGCAGACGTATACTGGGAGCCAGGGGAGTCGCGGCATGGAAGGAGCCCCTTTCCTGTAGCGAGGATGTGGTTGAAGAGTGCCAGCAGGTAAGGGTGGTTGTGAATCCATAAACATTTGTCAGCACACAAGATGATGGGGTGTAGCTATCAATCTCATCAACAGAATGAATGGTCATGTGATCAACACAGAACACAGGAGATTAACCACTGATACGTTACCATTCATTTTTCTCCAGTTTTAAGAATAAGATGTTTTATGGTTTATATTTTCTGGGTTTTTACAAGCATTGTCAATACTATGGAGAACAACAGGAAGAGTTGGCAAATGCAAACTAGAAACAGAAGAGCAACAGGGGCAAACACTAAGGATCAAGTTTTCCTGTCAGTTATACTGGTGTAATCTTGCAAGATATATGCGGCTGCACTAGTATAACTTAAGAGGGGAATGTCCCTACAGGTGAGATGCTCAACTGCCATGCAAAGCTGGCTTAAATTAGGTATTCAATACCTTAACTGTTGGAATTAAACATTTACAGTAATAGAAAAACATTTTATAGCAAAACAACCGCACTCTCCTGTGACATTACAGTTTAGGAATCTCCCAGGCAGATCTAGGCCTCACCTGCTGTCTTTCTGCCATATTCTTTTTCCTCATTCCCAAAGAAATCCCAAATTCCCCGGAAAATAAGTTAAAATTACAGCACTAGAGGCTGACTTGGTAAGCAGGATTCTGTGTAGTACCTAACTGGTTAGGTCCATTCTCCCTCACACATACATTCTGATGATCATCCTCCAACTGCTACATATAGTAGATAAAAGTTAGGGTCATCAATATGGTGACTAAACCAGATGCAATTCACTCAGACCTCTTCTGCCCTTTGAAGAGTACTCACCGTAAGAATCCTCGCAGCTGCATTTAACAGTGTCCTTATTTTACAAGCAAATTTATGCTGCAGTAGGTCAGTACTATTTTAACAAAACAAAAAAAAACCCAATCCTGATTCATCTTTCAGACAACACAAAAAGAACCTGCTACCATAGACAATGCCCACATATTTACCAAGTTAGGGAAGCTCTTTCAAATCTTGTAAGAGCATTTTGGGTATTGTGCATCACTAAAACAAGGCCTGCAGATGTAAATAATGGAAAACATTTCAAATACAGCATATAAGAGTTACTAGTTTGTTTTCTTACTATTTAATAAACATCTACTTTGCTTATTTGCATAAGAAGCAAACAGAAAACTCAATATAGCAACATGTAATGAACCATTTATTTTATTTAACAATATTTAACAAGAATTAGACTCAGACCTGGGATGTAACAAAATCAAAAGTTTCTTTTAAATATACTTTCAATTATAAAAATAGCACCACTTCCAAACAATCAAAATTAATTTGTCGCAGTTACCAAATAATAGGAAAACAAGTTGTATAAAAGCAATTATTTATAAACATCCTTAAAATGAAGAATGAGTTTATGATTTTTGAATCCTTACAAAAATGCATAAAAATAAATTATACCACCTTTCTGGAAAGCTATTTACAGGGGATCTGAAAAGATTAAATCAGTTAAATATCAAAAACTTGAGCTCAAAATCAGAAATCTTTACACAGTTTCTGATTCGCTGCATTATCCAATCTCACAAGATGATGTGCTGAATTAACAAAATCTCACAATGAGAAAAACAAAGCATTCATTTTCCTGTTTTCAGCTGAGATGTACATGATAAAATAATTGTGGGAGGAGACTAGCCAAATAAAATGACCAGCAGTATAAACACACCTACTAGCATAGTTTGTCACTGGAATTACTTTCTCTAACAACAATTAACTTAGATTGCTTACTGAAAAAAATTCTCCTTAGCAATTTTAGCTCTAAAAATTAAGCATGCTTTTAATCTCCCAAAGTAAATTGTCATTCAATTTTAACTAATTCATTTATATTCCTAAAAGCTGCGGCCCAATGAGAAATAAACATCTCAAATCGTATCAGAGTGCTGAAAGCAGATATGAGTACTGTCATGCCACAGAAGACCTCCTCAAAATAGTACCTTTTTAAGAAGCACATGCAAATCAAGTTACTTCAATTGCTAAAAAGTTCAGGAGGAAAAAAAAAATTAGCAGTTTAATTGCTAACTACAGGAATTATGAAGAACCTACGGTGTTCGTTTAACCTTTATTAAAGGCACCCAGCATCCTGGCATAGATCTATGACTTCTTCCTGATTCACGTCAAGTGATAACCCAGCAAAAAGAGACACTGATCTAGTGCAGTGTCAAACCAATCCATTTGTATAAGTCACAGAAGCAGCATGCCAAAGGCAATGAAAACCAACTATCAACAATTTAAGCCACAGGTCAGGATACTCAAAAGGGTTTGAATGAGGAATGTCATGCCCAATCCAAACGTACTATAGCACTGAAGAGAACAGACATCACACCCTTCAAAACAAATATAAAAAAATATTAAAATGAAGTAAGCTTAGGGCTATTTTTTTACATCGCCAGCCTTCATCAGGGCCTTAATAGCCCTGGCCCTCATCTCAAGCTCCAGGAGCTCCAGCTGCTGTGCTGATGGCTGAACATCTTCTGATGGAGCAACAGTCAAGTTTGCTGCTTTAGACTCCTTTGGGCTGGATTCTGCCAACCCCAGTATCTCATTCACGCTTTTCTCAATGTCCTTCTGAAGGTCATCTATCTGACCAGCTCCACTTCTGACAGCACTTTCTGGCACATCTGGACTCTCCTCTTCATTGCATGGGCCTTCTATGTCACTATCATATGCATCTGCATTTATGCTGAGGACATCACTATCTTCTCCCTTGCCTGTAACACAAATGTAACAAATAACCATGCAGTGCAGGGAGCCTAACAAAAATTTCCCTTTCATTTTAGAAACTGCCTCTGTATAAAAATGTTTCTCTTCACAGATTCAGATTATGACAAAAACCATCTATAAATTATAGACAAGTATTTCCTCCTCTTTTCCCTCCCCCAACTTTTAAGACTGATCTAATTTAGACAAGTTTTAATGCATTTTTTATTCCAATTTAGAAAAACATGCAATATACCAAAGCAGCAGTGCCTGAAAAATGTATTCCATCATATGGAGTTACATGATCTATTTTCCTAATTAAAAATGTCATAAGGTTTTATATCACAATGAAGCTTCTGCATTACAAAATGAAAGTTGATGTGGGGAATTTCTGGGACTGATTATTTTAGAAGTAAATTTAATTCTCAAAATGCAGTTTAAAAATACTTTGATTACTTTATAAATTACAATAAAGAAAAAATACCAAAGCCAATGAAGATGCAAAAAAAAAAAAAAGTCATACATTACAATTATCTAAGCCTTTTAGTGAAGTATTTCAGATTAATTTGGGTCAGCTCAGTAAAATTATAAAAGAAATGCTGGTGATTTTTATTTTTCGTTAAAAGCAGAGGTTTATTAGGAAGAGTTTAATTAGAAAAAGCAGTATAGTCAGTAAAACTGGCAAAACCTCCATCACCGATTCTCTTTACGGTGAAGTTGTGAGTGAGAGATACTATCCCTCTTGACACCTTGGCTCTGCAACTACTTGGTGCTTGGGTGTCATTTTTCATCTTTAGATATGCTCTGATAATATTGCTTATTGCTTAAAATAAATATTGTTATTTATTGCAACAAAATGGCAAAATTACTGATTCCAAGGGTTTAATATTGGCTCCTGGTAGGGTCATTATACAATAGTTAAGGCTGCTAATTCATAAATAGTCTTAAAAAATGAAATTATAGATTTAAAGAAATGCATTTTAAAAATAAAAACTTTTCACTGTGTGCTGAAGATATAAGGCAAAAGGTACATTCATATACAGTAAGCTCCTGTACTGTATAGTAACAAAACAAAATGATAGTTTTAGAGCATATCAGCATTAGGATATAAACATCTATATACCATAGTAATTTTCCTTTTTTAAACTTCCCTTTTTTAAATTAGCCTTTTTTAAATTAGCCTTTTGCCAACTGGTTTAAAAAGGTTTCCTTTCTGTGGATGACTTAAGAATCACTAGTTTTCTCCATCTGTTCTTTTAGCTCCTAAACCTCAAATCTCCAAGGCTGGGAAGTATTATTGATCTGCCAGTATTGCTCATCAACAACAAAGCCACTGATATACTGGAAACCAATCCTTTGTGAATTGCTGTTCTTGGACACCAGGCAATTTGAGTTTTACTAAAGCTCAGGTTATAAAGAATATATTGATAATGTAGTCTAATACAGCAGGGAGCCAGGGTTTGATGCCTTTAACTAATTGTCTTTGTATCTCTGGGATTTTCCTCAAGATGCTCACATTTTATTGTTGCAAAACTTACAGAAAGGATTTTGCTAATCATTCTTCTAAATACCAATGACAATTCCCTTGAAAGCATGTGTTTTAGTCCCAACATGAACCATTCTCCCTTCCTCTTCAAATAACAGCACAGTACACATCTTTGAAAAGAAATTTTTGAAGTCTGTCTTTAGAAATGCTTGTTCATATTTCGGTGCCGTTGGTTGTACACCACATCACAAGAATACAGCTATGTGGGTGAGAGGCATTTCTGGAAAACAGGAGGGAGAACTGAAAAACTCTCCATACCTATAAAGGGCCATATTCCCCTTGAACTTTTCATTCAATGAAAATTCTGTGTGAAGATTAACAGGTAGGATATGGACAACTGAAATTAAAATTTCTGGATCCAAAATAAGTTGAAGCAACAAATTTTGCCAGAGATCAATTTTTCCTTTTAAGAGTAAAAGGATGCATTAGAAAACTCTACCCCTTCTATGAAACGCTTAGAAGAAATATTTTTTGGGATGCGTGCACATTTGCTTATGAGCAGGGAAGGAAAATCTTTAGAAAAACATATTTTTCTTGGCTTTTGTGACATAACTGTTATCCTGAGGGGATGAAAAATCAATACTGAACACCAAGAAAGAAATATAATAAATGCACTTTCCTTGCTTAAAAAAAAAAAAAAAAAAAGGAGGAATGGTGTTTCATCCAACTACCTAGTCAACAATAAGTTTCCTTAAATTGTTTTTATAAACACTAGAGGCATATTTAAGATAGCCAGCTGCTTTTTATTTACCCTAAATAAAAACTTAAACCTGAGTGCTGGTGTAAAGAGTTCAAAAGAAACATACACATCCTCAATTCTGGAGTTTTGGCCCAGATTTAAGAAAGCACACGAGTCCCTATTCGGGACTTAAGTGCTATCCAAAATAGGGATGCTTTCGTGAATCGAGGTCTTAGCTACTCAACATGTGCAATCCCAGATTTGTAACATCAGCTACTGAACATGGATGCAAAAGCATATGAACAAACAGGTAAACAGCATATGATATGTAAAGTGTACACAGCTACACGTTTTCAGGATCAAGATCATCATAAATTTAGTCAGGTATGGGAAAATTGGTCAAATCGCTATAAATTCTTGCTTCTGGAGATTAGCATTGTTGATCACGTTGATATATAGGATTTTTGGTCTGTGGCACTTATTAGGTGAATTATGACTTTTTTTTGGAGTAAAAACTGGTTATATTGGTTAAAACAATTTAATTCTATGAAAAATGTGTCCTCTTCTAATCCTCAACATCACATGGAGAGTTTGCAATAAGCACTAATATATAAGGCCCATCAGTCCCCTACTAAAGTCTTCAACACCACAGAAGTGATGTGTTTGGGGTAGTTGCCCTGTCTCTAAAATGCCTTCATGGCAACCTCAAAATCTGCATTTCCACCTCAGATGCAAGTTTCACTTCTCCTCTCCCTGCCTACAGAAAGGGATGAGTGGACTCTGAACAAAATCTTGCTAACTAACTTCCCAGAAAGACAAGGAATGGGAATTATTAAGATTAAGGAATGGAAATTCTTCTGTCTTGCTACAAAGCACCAGTCCATATTTACTTAGCACCTTATTCAACAGGACTGCATTTCCATGGGGCAAGAAAACATACTGTATTTGAGGAGCCTAGTTCAAAGTTCAGAAGTTAAACTCTGAGCATGCTCATCCTTACTGCCAATCTTCGCTTTGGAACTGATCAGATGGAGGGGGTGGAAAAACCTGAAAGCTACTGACAAACTGGGTCATTCATTCCTGTCCCACTATCTGTATAGAATAGGGAGCTGCCCAGCCTTCAAAGGTACAGGCTGTCCTGGGTTCTATCCAGAATTAGGAGTCTCCATTGCAGCACAATGCACAGTAATCACACAACCACTGGCCTACAAATGTTGTTTAATTAGCCGATGAGCTTCATTTCCCTCTTTTGCAGTTGTAATTTTACACAGTAATAAAAGTCTCAGATGGCATTTTTCTCATTATCTTTTTCATTTTGATAACTTGTACTTATTCCTTCAGCTACAGTTGTGAAATTCATTTCAGCACACTTAATTCCTTTTTTAACCATATTTTACTCACTTCTGCTTAGTCTGCTTTGTCTTCTACCTTTTTTTCCTGTAGCATCACAGGCTCCAGCATGGAAGAAGAATGATTACTAAGTTATATTTTACAATTTATGCCCATATTCTCAAAAGCTCTTTAAAGCTAACATCTTGAGAAGCACCGCTGTCATTGCCCAAAGCCATCATGATACCGTGGTTGATAAAGTCATAAAAAAGGACAATGAAGCAATCACCTGCAGCAGTCATCAATTCCCTGAGATAGGACAGAAAGAGTGGAAGAGGTCTGCAGGAAATCTGTCAATTCCGAGGTCACTCCATATAGCGCAACAAGCAATATTTAAAGCGTTTCTCACAAAGTCATGGCATCCTGCTCTTAACAATTCTGCAGCTTTTGTTATGACATTCTTACCTCCTCCCTCCATTTAATTCCCCTCACTAGCTACTTCAAAAAAAAAAATAATAATAAACCGTTTGAAAAGCTGTTGAGATAGGACTCAGAATTGTGAAATAAAAGCTGCTGGAAGCAGATAATATTGGCCCCTCATAAGAGGAATACAGTTTATGAGAATCTGAAGCATTTACTGATTTGACAGTTATTTCTGACATTACAATGTATAGTAAGTACAAATGAAAATAAACAGGCTGAGATAGAAGCAGCTATAATTCTAGTGTCATGTATAAAATAATACTGGCAGTTGTTACGCAGTGTTCATGAAATGGATGAGCTAAAACAGGAGCTGATGCAGCTTAAACGCAGCTTCCAATGTACAGTAGGGAATCAAAAGTACATCACTATCTGTCTTGGTATTTTATCCAGTGCCCATCACAGCAGTACATGAATGCTTAACCCAATGCATTTCTGCCTGTTCTAAAAAAACAAAGACACTAGAATCACCAGAATGAAAAGCTGATTTTGTACCTTTCTTTCCTGGAGGCTACAGAAAATGAAGGCTCATCTGTCCCCACCTGATTACCAAAAGCTGCCATATTGGTGTGATCACACCAAATGCTGGCTTGTTTGTATTTCTACTTTCAATTGCTCAGCTTGCACTTGAAGTACAGAAGCAGCTGTCTTTTAGATATCCAAAGGAAGGTGATCATTATTTAGAATGATCTGCATCCAAAGAGAGAGAAATGATCAAAGTTCCTCTTAAGCTGGATGGCCAGAAGTGAGAAGTCGGAGAGTGGGAGGGCCTGCAGTCTTGCTTCCCCTCTACTACACTCCCTTCTCCCACAGCTGAGTTATTAACTGTGCTTCTGCAGAGCTGCAGTAATGCTCCCCTAGCTACCAAGAGCTCCAGTCCTGCAGAACTCAGAGGGGCAGGAGAGGGATGGGAACCAGGATTGCAGATCCTCTGAACAAGCCACACAGCCTTGGAGAAATCAGGCAGCTGCTTATTTTGAAAGTAAAACTCTATTGCCATCCTTTCTCCTGCCGTTGGACCTGGGCTCAGGGAAGAGGCTTAAACAATATGTGCTAGGGAGCAAGAAGAATGCCTATAAGAAGGCAGGACTCCACACTCAGGAACTGAGAACTGCATGGACCCCAGGCTGAGGCAGGATTTGGGTTGGTTTTAAAAGGTTTTGTTTTTTGCTTATAGCTACTTGTTTTAATTTATGGATCTGAAGATTTGCTCCTGCTGAAAACTGCTTGGTCAGTTCACCCCACTAGTTAACGATGGACCTACAGTCTCCTTCAGGATAGTTACTATTATGTTATTAGGATTTGAAGTTCTGGAGGAATTAGGAAGAGCAATGAATGGCTAGTTGCTTATACAACAGATTTACCTAATCTCTTGCTGCTGCAAATGGTTATACTGAATGTATGTGACTGGCAAAGTGAAAAGATAGCATCAACTTCATGATAAAAATACATTTCCCCAAAACCTTTTATTTTTTCCTATGGAGCCCAGGGAAGAAACAGGAGGCTCTTAAGATGATCCTGGTCTACTGATCCAGCACTAGTAGGGTCTAAATATATATAAAACTCACCAAACTCTCTTCTGCCACTTCAGATCACTATGAGTACAGTGCAAAAACAAAGAGTGGGGAAGACTTCTGAACGTCAATATTTCAGCATGAAGGCGACAAATGCCCCCATGTCATTCAAAAGAACACTCTGGTCTTACTGGAGCATCAATGGGAACTTTGATTGTTCAGCACTTCTGAAAATTAGGCCCATGTTTTGGATTTTGTTTTGTTCTTTAAAAAAGTGATTCATCATTTTTTCATTTCTGTACTATCTAGGTGGCACAGATGTCTGGGTGGCACAGATGTCTTGATTCCACTGAGGATGCGTCACTATTATTATTACCACCAGTTCAAGTATCCAGGCTGACAGTCACTGGCTGTTGAAACTGGTCACTGCCAAGAACACAAGACTTCAGCTTTCTCAATACATACCCTGTTTTGACTCCAGACCTTCCAGTTTGCTGTCTTCCCTCAGAGAAGAAGTAGAATCTACATTGTTGTCTTGTCTGGAAACAAACGAGAACACATTTTAATTTGCACACTTTATTATATAAAGTGAAGAGGACTATTTCAAAGAAACATTTCCTTTACACTAGCACACAGTATTTGTTGATAGCCTGAGTAAGACAGGTTCTGTATGAAAGGGGCCAACAAGAGTTTACATATACTTTTATAACCATTTTAAGCACTTTAGAACCCCAGGGTATTTTTCTGCTTTCCTCAGTGACATACAAGATCAAAGTTAATTATCCTCACTGCACTGGTCCTACAAATGAAAAATCATAATTGGCAGTATCTTCCCAATATGGGGTGCTTATTTGCAAAATGCAGCATAAATTGTCACACAGGTAGGAATTTAGAAAATCTAGTTTCAGTTGCATTCAAGGGATATTTGCTGTTTACTTTTGCAATTAAGTAGCTATTTTCACCCTCATGAGAAACTAACATTACCACTGAAGAATTGCTTTTAAAAAGCAAATTCAGCCAGACTATTGACCTGGGTTCAATATCTATTTCCCCTACCTTAAAAGATTCACCTTTTTTTAATTTTAAGATTCATACACCCTCCCCCTCTAAGGTGTCAACCCTGGAATTGCTTCATGTTGCACAGAAGCAAACAAAACATAGCCTAAGAGCCATGGAACCATATGTTTGTGGCCTGCTATTTACCTACAGTTTTCAAATGACATTTTTTATACAAAGCAGGGAAGTATAAATGAGAGATTGTAAGATGCACCTGAAAAGGGCAGACACTGCTTACAGCAAGATCCTGAAATCAAGAGAATCTAATTGTTGAGTTTAATGAGCATTGTGGCAGTAAAATTATTTTATATTCATCTACCCAATTTCATCCCTCAGCTGTTTTCTTGTCTAAAGTTTGTGTAGTATGTATTACATTAACATGTAATCAAAGCAACCAGCCTGCTTGTAGGTATTAAATCGAACCATAAAAACAAATGATAGCACTACCACAGATCTTACCATATTCTAATTTCAAAGTTTCAATACTCCAGACTTAGTTACTTTTCAACTATGGCCTTAAACAAGTTCTTTCTTAACAAGGTGGCTGCAGATCTGTTTTTCTATTAAATAACCACAGATGTGTTTCTGTTTAGAATGGCAGGCTAATAAATCAACTGGAAGGGAATCTCTTCATTTTGTACACCATTTCTAACCAGCCCAAATTTGCTACACTGATGCAAACGAGGGTACACCTATTTTGACGGCTACTTCCCCCGCTAGTTGTAGACATTGTAATCAATTCTGAATGGCCCTCCATTTGTCCCACAAGTTTGTACACAAAGACATGCATATAATTATCACAATTATGCAAACAAATGCTTAGGAAGGTGCCTAGGCATTTGCACACACAGATGCAATAGTTACGCAAAAAACTGAATGTTTGGCTCGATAGCACACACCCACTTTGACTTAACCTGTATCTTGCAAGAGACTGGGCAAGGATCATGTGCTTCCCTCCTCTCTCTAGTATGCTTCCCTACCCGCTGAAGCTGGGTGAAATGTTATTCCAAATCCCAAGGTTTCAGTTCTGTTGGGCTCTCCATTTCCAGCAGAAGGATGGAAGAGTGGGTAGAGATGAGAAGGAAAAGAGCCCAAATGGGGAAAGAGCTATGCTGAACAGGGAGCTTGTTTATGTGAGCTTCTCTTATCCTAGGAACCACCCAAATGCTTCCCCCACATAGGGATAGCTCAGTGGTTTGAGCATTGGCCTGCTAAACCCAGGGTTGTAAATTCAATCCTTGAGGGGGCCATTGAGGGATCTGGGGTAAAAACTGGGGATTGGTCCTGCTTTGAGCAGGGGGTTGGACTAGATGACCTCCTGAGGTCCCTTCCAACCTTGATATTCTATGATTCTATGTTTTTTGCTTGTCTCCAGAAGGTCAGACATTTCAGGCTGTATTAGCTCTTAGATGCTATATCTAAAACCAGAAATTCTAAGAGAAAATTAATTTTGCTTTAATGTGATCTTTTAAACATATTAAGCAGGTTCTCAGACTTTCATTCCTTCTTGCCCCAGCCTCCGGGGGTGGGAGGGCTGGTGGTGGTAAAACACAACCCAAAAACTTGCACTCTTCCCTTTTGCCAAGGAGAGTGACTGACTGGCTGTTTTCATTGCTGATGGCAATGCTGCTCCTTGGCAAGCAGCAGGGTCAGCTCTGACACAATCAAATAATTTCCAGGGGGAAAGATGCCAAGCAGTGTCACCTCTGCAGTAATAAAGCTTCTGCTGCCCTGAGTCTTAAAGCCAAATTTCATTCAAGAATTAGAATCACCCCTTTGTCAGCAACCTCACAGCAACCCCTTATTTTTAACTATGCAGTTTGTTTTAAGTACAAGTAGTAGAAATATCTACATTTCTTTTTACCTAACAAAAAATAAAGACTTTTCTGTAAATTGGAAATCATGTAGCAAGACCTGCTGTAGAATGTGTCCCTGATATTTAGACCATATCAACTGCTTTAGCAAAAAAAAAAAAAAAAAAGCATCCCTGCTGTAAAGACCATCTGCTGTCAAAAAAATTGGGGGTCCCAAAGGCAAATCTTTTACAGCGCATTTTATTTTATCATAAAAGGTTGGGTTTGACTGGATTGCTGATGAAACTTCACCAGCTGGATTTTAATAAGCAGGTGTCATGCACCATCTTGTGGCCAAGCAGTGGCCGAGCAGTCTAGATTTGGTTATTTTCTTAATAAAAAGAATTCAATTGCATAAGGACAGTGGGCCAAATTCAGTTACTATTAATTTACACTGGTGTAAAATAGCAGACACCCAGCAGCCAAAAGCCGATATAAAAGTGGGGAGCACCTCAGTACAGCCCCCACGTGCGGGGAGCAGGAGATATGCTGGATTTAACCCTAAGGCAATGCCTTTGTGGCTGCAGGTCTCATATCCTCATTTTCCATATTGACCTTGGCTAACAAGTGGCGACTAAAGTTTGGAGTTCCCTGTGCCTCCTGGCTGTTAGGAAAGAAAGCAGTCAGAATCAGGGAGTTATGCTCAAGGAGGGAGTCAGTGCTAATTTTCAAAGTCAGCCACAGCTCTCTCCTGCCCTCCTTTTTCAGCTGATTCCCTCCTCTCACCCTTCCAATTTTGGTGCATTAGCCCCTCCACTTCCATTTTTCTCTTGGGTCTCCTTGCCATTCTCCCTTGTTTGGGTGGTGTTCTATTCCATCTTATACATTTTTTTTTTTTTTTAAAATAGAAGGTTGGAAGGACCCTCTCTACCAAAACAATAACACTTTCCCTCTTTTGCTGCTTGCCGTTGACAGCAGCTGCAAAGTGAAGCTTACCTAATTAGGTGGTCCATGGATCCCTGGGGGTCTGCAGACTATGTCTAAAATTTCCAAATTGGTCCACACCTTTATTTGAAATTTTTTAGGGGTCTGCAATGAAAAAAGGTTGAAAACCTTGGCCTAATTCTTTTAGGCTGCTCATCTCCTAAGGCTGTTAGGGCTAGTCTACGCTGACAATGCTAAAGCACTGCCACGGCAGTACTTTAATGTGGCTTGTGTTGTCATGGCAGAGCGCTGGGAGAGAACTCTCCCAGCGCTCTACAAAAATCCCCCTCCACAAGGGGCGTGGCTAAATACACTGGCGCTTTACAGCACTGAAACTTGCTGTGCTCAGGGAAGTGTTTTTTCACGCCCCTGAGCGAGAAAGTTGCAGTGCTGTAAATTGCCAGCGTAGACAAGCCCCGAGTTTCACTTTACAGGCTTCCTTCTAAGGTAGTAAAAGGCTTCCCACACTGATCTTTCCTTGGCAAGGCTTGAACAGTTATTCCAGATTTCCTTCTCTATTTCACGTAAGAGAATCAAGTTTTACAGGACAAGAATTAATACATACATATCATCTTAGATATTCTTCTTGGAAGAAGTATCAGGGAAGGAGGTTTGTTCCCCCTCCCCCACCAAAAGGATGACGACAGATGAAATAAATAATAAGCATTAGCTATGTTACAGAATTGGACTTCAGACTGATCTGACTTACTAGACCAAGGTTTCAAGACACAAAATTCAGCCTCCAAAATATGTCAAAGGGTTGCATGGGAGGCCCAAGGTGTTCAGGGGAAGGGTTCAGAGAAACCCCGGGTGTGTGCAAGTGTGCACTCACCCCCACAGAAGTGACTCCTGCAGCTCTGGCTGGGCTAGGCTGTGTGCAATGCAACCTGATTCATGGGCTCTCAGTGCCCAAAGAGAATGAGAACCACTGTAATAGATTCTCCTTGGTACACACTGAGAAGAACAGTCAGAGCCTGATTTTGAGAAGCAGACTCATTTTGCAGGCATTTTTGTACTTGCAATTAACTGTGCTGTAATTCAATGCCCTTCAATCACTTGTCTCTGTGATTAACAGATGGAAACAGGCTATTAGACATCTATGGATTTTTTGTACAGTTGTGCATGTGGTTTGTGAATATAAAAATCTAAAAACAAGGTGAGGCCCTTAAAAAAAAAAATCCAGGGCCTAAGTTTGAGGAACTGTATTTTCTTGCATGCAAAACTTAAATTGCAGTGAACAAGTCCTCTGTATTATCACAGTGGTCTGTGAATTACTAATAAAAATCAACACATTAAACATTAATGCTGGAAATACTAGGTATAGTCCCTACCAGCATTATGCACTATGCTCAGGATTATTTGCATGATCGGGTCCTATTTAGAAAATCAAAAATTCATGGGGGCTAACTAGTATTAGAGTCATAATCAAAACCGATAGTTCTTTAGTTTTCAAAAATTATATACAGTATTAAACATTGCAACCCAAATTTACAAATTTGGTTAAGCAAGAGAGCTACTTGTATAAAAGAGACAATGCTCATTTTTAAAAATAGCAACATGCAACGGTTTCTGAACCAAATGAAGGAGGAAATTTTCATAAATTTACCAAAATCCCTGTGGTTGACATTTTCTTGTAATGGAAAGTCCAAGATACTTTTTATTACATTTTGCATTAGAAAGGGCATAACATTAAACGGAATGACAGG